TCTCTTATAAAAGTTTTACACTAAAATATCACATCGATTGCATGTACCGTGTGCTATACGATCATGTAAACCGTATACGTACGTGTGCATCTTCTAACAACATGCATGTAGGATTTGTATCTGTTTAATCTAGATAAAGGCGAGAAGTACTGGCCGCCTTCTTTACGCCGGATTGACTAGCGTCAGGCATTTGACGTGACGACGCTTCCCGTCCGCTGGATAATAAGAACGATAATTATAGAAACCTATCCAACGTATAACCCAGTTTGATAAAGGCCTGCAAAATCAATAAGAAAAAGACCATGCAATTATTTGGTACTATTCTGCTGTATCGACGTCATTGCCCGTTCGGACCGCGGGTGGTGAACACGGATTCGAGCCGACTGACTGTGGTCGAGCAGGATGTGTGAACGTGATGATCGGAGAGTTGCAGCGCTCAGAAACCGATCAGGTATCTTGCTGGTAAGCTTCAACACTGACTAGCATAAAATATCGGAAACTGAAAAGGACTTGCAGCATGGCCTAATATGATACAAGCACTCGAGGGCGAGAGCAAAAAGAAAAAAAAAATGCAAATAAGAAGCCAATGCATTCTCTTAAAAAAAATTTGCGACGATATGGGTCAATAGGCCTACCGGTTTACGTGATAATGACATATTTAAGAAACAAGCAAAGCTTCTGAGAGTTCGATAGTCACTGTTTACCAACCGACATAAACAAAAAATTAGCGACGTCACTATCATTGTAATGATGTAGGATAGTTTTTCTAATTATAAGTAATAACCACAACAACAACAACAGCAACATAATGTGTACGTGTGATCAAGGTTACAATAAAAAAAAAGGACTTCGTCGTGTCAAGCGCATCCTTGAAGAATCGGTAAAACTTCCAAATCATAGCAACTCATATTGAAAACATCAGAAACGGGGTTGTCATGTGGCTAAGATAACGAAAGTACGTTTCGAGCTGTAACTGTAAACCCTTTGATAAAAACAAAAGCCGGATAAGCAAAGTTGTGCTATGGCGAAGGTGGTTTTTCTGAAGATAAAAATAGATAAGATAAAGTGATTGGTCACCGGTCCTTCGGGATGAGCGGGGCGTACGTGATGCCGTTCTGTGGCAATTTGACAAATGATGGATTGAACCCGGATCCAGCTCATGCAATACTCGAAATCAATACTCACAGATAACAGAATTAAATTACCCATTTCCCAATGAAGCATGTGGCTAAAGGTGTACTCCAAAAAAGCCAGGATGAAATTAGTAACCACCCTCGTTGCTCGTTAGTCAATCATATATTTTTTACATGAATAGTTAGACATGTCGAATGAATCGTATATGTACACTCTTCTACTACCACCTACACCCCAACGCTTAGCCTTTCAACCCGCTAAATATAGGATGCCGAGAGATTCGCATCTACTGTCAGTGTTGTTATCATCTCTACATTGAACCCACTGTCCTACCCTGTTCTACCCATGTTCTAACCATGTGATCACCTCTATATGTGTGTGTGTATATATAGTTAGAGGACTATCACCTATCGTTTATCGGAAGAACGACTCTTAGCGGCCGCTTGCCAATGTTAACGGCGTTCGCCGTCAACCATCGCACTTGTTCGTGTGTCGGTCGGCCACTTGGTCCGCCAGGACGTTTGTTCAGAAGTTAAACATAGCCCGTTGCCGTTATTATCGCGGCCGTTGCCAGTCGCCTCCACTATGGAATAGACGAGGCCTTCGCATGCTGTTCCGATCCGAGTCTTGTTCAAATGGACTCACTCATTTACTCGTTCGTTCGCTTGTTAGCTTATCGGTAGTCGCGGATGTTTCTAGAGCAAGCGCTGGAACGTCAGCGCGCGAATCAAGCTGATACAAAGGGTGACACAGTGGAGCGAGCGCGACGCATCTGAGTACCAGCGGAGCAGGAGTCGCGAATGCTGCCTGCGACCAGAGCGTCCCGTCGGAACGAGTCATCCTTCACCCATTTCCTTTCCGAAGTTAAGCCGATGCACCTTGTTAGTGGCGGCAAAAGCAACGGAAAATTGGTCAGAGGCTGCAGCGACGGAAACAGCAGTATGCGGCATAGCGCCTGCATACCCACGAGTGATGGTGAACTAGGGACATGCGCTGCGTTCAGCTGATACTGCCCCTTCTAGAATGAAGATCGATCAGTAGCAACACCTGCTGTAATCACAGTGTACGGCAACGTATCCGCGTTCGAGTAAACGGAGCAAACCAGTGCTAATGCTACGATCCTAACAACTCTACCGAAGATATTGACAGGGTTTAGCAGGGTACAGGGTCTCGATCCTTCTCCGACGTAATACAGACAGATAGATCGACTTAAGTATTGGAAGTACCATTAACGGAAAAGTGTCATAATCAGCGTATATAATGGATCCAGTATGTTGCCACTTATTGTTATATTCAGCGGTAAGCTGATGCAATAGGTTTTAACATGTGGTTTTTTCATGGCATCAATTGAATAGGAAGACCTGCTGCAGGTCCTGACCTAGATAAATCCTCGGCTATATGTGCTACTGATAGGGTTATTTAATTAGTATATAAATATTCTTCAACCAAACGACGAATTAGCAATATCGTTATGCTAACGAGAGAAGATTTAAAATGTGAAAAAAAATAATATATTAAACGTAAAAGTATATTAAACGTAAAAGTATATTAAACGGCAGTTATTCCCTATTTTGTGTGTTCCATTGCAAGTCGCTCGAAATACGTTGTTGGGTTAATACTCTACGTACAGGTCGGACGCATGTAAGCATCCACCACCAAATTAAATGTCTCTTTTCTACCTCCATTCAAAAAAGTCGTTTTTGTCGTTTGCCCTACAACCATTTGCCCCGCTGCCCCAACACGAACGCTAACATATATAGAAGTACGCAGGCCGCCAGGAGAAAGCGCACGAGAAATCGATCGCCAAGCAGATAAATGTTTTGTTTTTGTTTTGTTTGCGAAACTATTGCGCTGGCAGCGATTCTTGCCAACGCCTTTGTACTTCGTGTGTCACAAAACGTCATCATCACCGATACATAACCGCCATTTTCGCCGCTACTGCCGCCGCCGTGCCCTCTACGTTTTGCCGCCGTACTTGACGTTGTATTTGCCCCCTTTTCAGAGGCTAATTACGATTTCTGTCCTGCGCAGTCCCTGTGGTAATGGCGGCTGCTGATGTTGCTACGGCATCACAATAGGCGTGCAGGGGTCCCCTTTAGGGGACATCAGCATAGTATATAAACATTATCTGAGCTGAAACTCGCCGCGGAGACTATATTATACACTGTTAGCTACTTAAGGCTGGCTGAACTCTAGTTTGTACCGTTCGGTGTCCTGTTTCGCATGTCAGGTCGCTACAGAGACAGATTTTCTGTAGCTGTATCTACGCACACCGACACTCCTACGATGTCAGCGACAGCACGCGGTAGCGATGACGATAATGAAGACGAAACCCCACGGGGCCGAAGTAAGTGCTACATCTATACGTGCGTGTTGCGGGCGCCCGTTCGTATGTAAATGTCTACTGGCAGCAGCAGCAGCAGATTCCAGCTAGACAACTGTAATAATTTAGCTGTTCGTTCTGTGTCCGCACCGAAACAGTGAACGAGCGAATGAACAAATTCCCGGTCAACTGAATTTGACGTTGGCCGTGTAAAAGACGGCTCGCTATGATACTATACTGCGGCATGTAAACATACATGGACTATTTGCTATACATTGACAACTGTAGAATGCTACTGGTGCCGCTGGTGTTACCCAGAATTGGCTGGGTGTATGTATATTGTTGTGCAAATGCTGGTGATGGTAACCAGACTGTTTTTAGATGATGAAGCTACAAATTAGTTTGGGTGCATGTATATTCTACTCGATATGGTCGTTGTGTGACTGGTTTATTCGCCGACGCGCTGCATACTATCGTATGTTTGTATGATTGAGAGTACAACGATTCGCGTGCACTTAACCCTATGGTCTGAACCTTCGGCTGAAGGTAAGCGCAGCTGCTGTCGTCGCTGGCTCGCGTTAAACGGCGCCCACGTTGTTATTTACCGCGGCTCTTCATAATTCAGAAAATAAAATGAAAAATGGCCGAATTCAGAACATAGTAACGAAAGCGGCTGTTCGTCCGCACAGACTGGCACATCGTAACAAACATGAAGCGAAACGCTGCTGGGACGAATCAGCTGTTTGTACGAGCAACCGTAGTGTTTGAGGAGGGGGGCTTGAGGCACCCGCAAACTGGTACCTGTTCGCCGGTATCAGACCCGTCATTGGCGTATTGCTATGATTATGACGATTATTGTCGGTTGTATCTGACAACATGTTAGCGACACTCGACAGATAACACCGGCAACGTCGGGATGAAAAGGTATCTTAACAACAACGGTTCTTCAAGACTCAGTATCTCACTAGTTAAAATCTGGGAGCATGTTACACATGAAACAATGGAGTAGGTTTCTGTTCAATTCTTGGGATGAAGTGAGGCATCCAAATAGGGTTTAGAGAGTTTATTTGGACACGCCAAACCTAATCATTTTCCAACACAGTCCGACACGGAACAGAACTCGTAAGCAGCTGCATTCATCACATTACTTTCGGAGTTTTCGAACCTAAGGCAAGGTCATTTGCAGCTTTAGGTAACCTCAGCAAACATATTTCCGATAGCAGTATTCCAGCTTAAGTAAAAAATTTCGCATCGAAACGCTCATAAACTGAAAATACGATTAATCATATCAGGTTTGTACAATGTACGTGTCATATAAGATAGCTTTCCTTCAACCAGTTCCCCAACTTTTTCCTTAAATCTTGTTTAAAAGCTTTCCCAGCTCGGGTAGGTTCCGGCCGCTCCGTGTACACTACACACAGGGACAAACGCATGCACACAAAGCTTACAAACGACATTCCCGGAAGTGGGTTTTATCCAAAAGAAAGGGGAACTCGATTAACACTCCTGTTTTGCATTCATCTTCTTCCTGCTTCTCTTTCAGACTGACTGAGAATCAGATAACGGCTCTATTCTGCGACATGGTGTCAGGCGCGCAACAATCTTAATCCAGTTTCTTTATGGCTTGGTGATTTTAATATAGATGATAACCTAGATCTGAGAATACGCATGTCATCCCGAGCTTCCGTAGCGGATCCCGCTTTATGAGACATGCGGCCTTCGAGCGCAGGACGATCCCCGGGAACTGTCGTTTCTGGATATCGAGTCAATACAGCTCCCTTGTGTTGTATTTTTTTCGCTCCCGCTTTGCAGCAGTTTCATAGAAGTATTCATGGGACGACGCCATCTCTTCTTGAAAAATCTGCTTTTTCATTCACGAACCCAGTCAGTCATGCATTGTTCCCCCTCCTGTTTTTCCGTTCTCTCTACGCAGAGAACAGGACCATACCAAGGACCTTTTTCGTCCGCTATGCATGTTCCTCTTTTTCCGCCTACAGAATTTCCCTTTCGCTGGCAGTACTCTTTTCTTCCAAACAGCGTTTTTTTTCCAGTTTTTATTCAGCCTTCCACTGGATTACTCAATGTCATCATCCATCTGGACCGGCGCATATCGTCGCCAGGTACGCTAGTATCCCCTTGCCGGTCTATTATAAACTCCTGGACAACGACCGACTGCCCGAGTTTTGCTTTCTTAGTGCAGAGATTGTTGAAGCAAATGTCGAGAAGGTAAGCCGTACTACGCTATTCAATTTTCCTAATAGTTTGCTATAAGGCTGTTGGATAGTGTAATTTTTTGAACTTTTTACCGATTAACATCGTTTTCTATCTTAGCGAAGTTGGGTCCTTTCCCATTCATTTTTTATGCTTTTGAACTTTACAGCGCTTCTTTGTATAATGGTAGGCTTTGTCAACCTCATACTGTAGCTATGAAGGTTAGGTTAAGAAAGAAGCTAGGTAAATGACAGTGCCATGACAAACTGGTTGAAGCGCGTTGCCACCGCCGTCACCTCCATTTAAAGACCGAGTAAGCCCATACTATTAGATTATGAGAGTGAAATCTAATTTGTCGCGCTGGCTTAACGAACTGCATGGCCAGCTTGTTGGTTGATTGAATTCGAATGCGAAGGCAAAAGGGCTGACTCTTCGTCTTCGCTGTTCCTAGCCTCTTATTCAGTCGGCGTCGACCTCTCCTGGAGCAGATCTAGGTCAGGGAGACTTTGAATAGATTTCCCAGTTAGCCAGTAAGTCGGCGGCCTGCTGCAGATGCGTTATTGGCCTAAGTTCGAGTGCCGCTATCTCTCTCCCCCTCGCTTTTTCTCTCTCCGACTCCCCAATGGGACGGTATCAGCGGCGGAGAAAAATGCCATAGAGGCCACTCTTTGCCGCAAAGCCCTCCCATAACAATGACCGACCCTGCCTACACTCCACTCACTCTACTTCGAGCAGCTCGACGAACATCTCATTTCGAAAATAAAGACCTCTGAGTATCGGTTGGTCGACAGGTGAAGAACAGATGAGGTTATGTCGTTGCTGCTGCTGCTGTTGTTGTTGTTGTTACTGATGACATCATGAATAGTGTAGCTTAACATCTTGCGCTTTCTGCTCGGGTATCCGTCCGGGTTGAACATGGAGACGGAGGATAGTTTACTTCTTGGATGCGCCTTAAGGCCGAAAGTTTCTCTCAGTCAATTCGCTCGCTCGCTCCAGCCCCAAGAGAAGGCGCTGGTGCTTCCTTTTTTTTTCTCGGAGTGCTGCTGAAGCCAACGCAGCAGGAAGAGTAACGGCGACGACGGTGGCGGCGGTTCTATAGCAAATGGTGTCAGATCTCTTCAGCAGGAGCAGCTGAAGACGGACGCGTGACCTACTTCTGCCTGCATTTCTGCTGCTGCTGTTAGCATTAGGTAGCGATTGTAGCACGAGGTCACAGGTTGTCATCTATAAAGCAGCGGTATTAGTGGCAGGGCAGGAGCATCGGCTGGTAGATGTTTCTACATGGATGTGGCTTTTGTGTGACTAAAAGAGGGGGAAGGAAAGGACGGGCGCGACTGAATTAAAGATAACAGAAAGCGGTAGGGTTCGTTCCGCCGCTGGTGCCTTGGCTGTGGCTAGTGATTGGTATTGAATGGCCAGGTTGAACGATAGAAGAAAGAAGGTTAGACGACAGGCCAGATAGGTCCCGTTGTTCTATCTTTTTCTATAAGCACTTAGGCAAGACAAACTTACGCAAGTATCTGGAGCCGCCTTGTCTGTCTTCCATGTGGGAGAGTTATAGACGAAGCATGCATGAGGTTAGTACGATGTCCTTCTTTACTTCGTTTAATTCGGTACATCGGTACAAATAGCGGAGGGGGGACTATCATGCTGTCGTAAGGAAGAGGTGGGCGGTACTCTTATTTAAAGGCCTAGGCATCTAGGAATTTTGATTAATGTTAGAACTAAAATACTTGATGTACAAAGTTGACTCTTTACATAATATATAAACGAATACGATATAAAATAATAACATCTAAAGGGACTGTATATAACCAAAGGTTAGTTTTCCCTAATTCTGATAAAAAGAACCAACAGCAAAACATACGTCTTCAACAACTAGTGACACCTGCCGGAGTTCGACATAAATCTAAGACGACAATAATCGAAAGTTCTGAAATCCGGAAATATAGTCACACTGATCACCAATGAGATCTACTGTATATTTCCGTATAACGCAAGCTCAGTGTATCTCGAAATAAATATGAAATCAATTTTACGCTTCCATATTTAATTCCTAATGTTACGTAATGAAATCCAGTCATAGGAATTCTCTCAAGAAGGGGAGGAACTAGTCATCTTCAATAATTACAATATTTTAAGATAAGATTAAATCGATTTACTCAACTTCCGAAATTCGGCCGACCCGACTCAACTTCCGCAAGACCTTCGCTAACGCTCCCTGTCTCCTTTTTATGTTTTTTTTCTTTGCTTTGGTATGTTATATCTGTTGGGCACCGTTACTTAGCAAAGATGGCCTTAATAACAATAATGGATTCAAGCACTGGAACAATGTTTTCCTGGAAACAGCACAAAAACTCGTATTACGACTATTTAATGAAGCTTGTTACGTTAGATACAACATACTTGTCGCCCGCCGTAATAGCACAGTAAGTAACCTCGTCGTCCACCAAATCTGAAAACACGTAATGGTCTAGATCTAGCTCGAGCGTACTTGTATCGAGCGTATTGAGCTCGTTTAATGCTAAGAGTCAGCCCTTCCTTCCCTGAAGTGATGCCCAACGTTAGTTTAAGTACCGAACATAAAAATAGTAACGACATACCTAGTAAAAAGAGTAACTAAGAGGAAAATCACTGGTCTTTGTACTTCGGTCGCTGCACGTTATTACGCTGTGTACCATATGGCTCACAATAAGAGCTAATTTAATAAGAGACCGAAGGAAACACAACTTGTCATTTCACTTGAACTCATAATTCAGCGCGTTTTGTTGCCAAATCTAGAAAAGAGAATAGGTATTGTACATTTTACAGCTTAACGGAGCTAGGTTCCGTTGTGTCGCACGTTACCTTATGAAGGACAATCTAATTCGGTGCTTTCTCAAGGTAGTCGGAAGGAAGCAGGTAAGACCTTTTGCATTTCTTTTGTCCACATTAGGACGGAAGAGTTAATACGGCGTTCGGTTAAAGTGATAGTATTTGTTCTACAATAGGTGTGGCCGTTACATGAGCAGATTCAACGTTTTATTGTGCTCTCCGAACGGCCGACCATTTTCATGATATGTCCTTGGCCACCCTCGACAACAATAACGGCGCTCAATTGTGTTCGGCCGTATGTGTGTATGCTTCGGAGCGCTGTGTCACTGCGCTGTTAATCTGTGATGTTCAGTTTCCCCCACCTCCTTTTCTACGCACAATTTCCTTCCGACGGAAACCCTACTACGACTCCTTAAACTCTGAAATTGTTGCATCGGTACAATGCCAAAAGGTTCCGCGCGCACCCACTTGGACGGCGGTACGGCTGGTAAGAAGGTAGGCGGCTTAAATCGCTTCGCTACAACGGTTTTACTGACATCACTACCATCAGCAGCCCAACGCCGTGATTTTGTTCTGTAGGAGTAAATGGTTTATGCAGGATAGGATTGTCTCAGCCGAGGCGGTATTGTGCAATTGTTAAGGGAACAATAAGATCATCGGATAGGCATCGTTAGAAGAAGAACGCAGCTCTTGAATCTCCGATGAACAGTACTGATGGCTTGTGCGGGTTGGTTCGACTGGCCCGACTAGAGCGGTGAAGGTCGGAGGGAGAGAGATTAGGTCGTTTACGAAACCCGTACTATACTGTGACTATTACCGTGTGGTGCCGGAAGGCTACATGGTTCTACGTACGCTCTTATGTGTGTGTTGGGTCTAGTAAGGCGAGTGAAGAAGTAGCTGGGTTAGCTGAGGTGACGACTTTAAGAGACCAGCCATCGGTCTCGTCTCTATTCGGTATATCGGATCAATGTCAGATGGCCCACTTCTTGCTTTTACGCCTACCATCTTCAACTTCGTCAAGGTATAGCTGTACTATGCTAGGATGGAGACCATGCTTAGATTTGGCGATACCTGTCAAATAACGGGATCTTTCGGAACGAACTTCTTCGCTGTTTCTTTATTTTCTTTCCGCATCTCTGTTCAGCTAGATCTATTGTCTGTGACCGCCATTCTTTTCTAACTAAGCAGTCTTTTTTCAAACTCCACACACCTATCAGCATATCAAAGCAAAACTCCGAAGCAGGTCATATGGCTGGGTAAATCGGTGAACTAGTCAACTGTAGTAGTAGTACTAGTAGTTTATGCTGCCTATTAGATTTCACTTTCGTAAGGTTGTTTCTGTTCGATATTGCTCTAAAGCGAATCTAAATCACCATAGGGGGTAAGTTTTATCAGCGTTAGCGGGCGATCAACATTCCAGTTAAAGTCTCAGTGAGGTTTATACAGCCACGCGGTCTCGATGTAATTGGTTAAATGCAAATGGTCCGGTGCTACTATTTAAACAGGCTAAACAACCATAGGGTAATTTTTCCTTCAAAGTTATTGTTTATATATAAATTTATAGGTACATGTACATGTACTAGTTAGAGCTCTAAAGAGGATCTTCATTGCGTTATTGGTTAAAAAAAAAAAAAAAAAAAAAAAAAAAAAAAAAAGATGTACAATCAGTCGAAAATTGTTATGGCCAATATAATGTGGGCTAAGTATTTGTTTATTTTAGAAAATAAATAAGTTAATTAAATGCTTTCTGCTGCGGCCAACTCAATCATTAGGGATAAATCCAAATTTAACAATTTAACTAACGACATTTGCTTGTTATACATTTTTACTCTGTTCCAGCTGAGCTCCACACAAACGATGGTTCTCTATGACCTTCTAGGTATAGTAGAGAAATGTTTTCCCGGTGTTTTGAGACCGAACGGATGGAAAAGCCGTGCAAACTCGCAGAGCTGCAGTACACGGAAGGCATATAGATGGCGAATGAGAACGAGCCGTCATGCGACCTGCTTTATGTGACTGTGTATCAATCCCGTGAGGCTTTGGCCTACCTTAAAATGAAATGGTCCGTTTTTAGGTGTCCGAAAGGTATTTCTAATTGTCGACGCATTCCTACAGTGTTTTCTACTGTGTGAGCCACACAAAGAGCACAGTCGGAGAGTGACAAAATTTCAGCGGTGCCCCCAAGAACAGCAACGGCGCTGGCGGCTTGCTCAGAACGATAGATCTCAGCAGCGAGTGATCCTCTCTTTCAAACTGATAATTCAAAAGGACTCTATGAACAAACTCACTCTGGACCTCACTCATCCCCTTTAAGCGTTCTTCTTGTGCTTCTTGTTATTATAGAGGGTGGCAGTCGCTCGAAATGGTTACGTAACGGGCAACTCGGTTGGTTACGTAACAATCACCGTGGATCTTAAGCAAATCAATTTGCTGGTGTTATCGACATTTACAAGTTATCAGTTGTCACAATCATCCAGTAAAGCTGTAAAATACCCTTATATAACTTGGGAGCATTGCGAATAAAATCACACAGTTGAACTTATGTACCGTTGACTTCTTAGCTATCATAATACTAACTGTGTTTACCACGATGACGAACATTTTAACAAAAGCTAACGCTCGGTAAAGCTAACCCGTATGATCTGTTATTTTCTGGCCATTATCTTTAATCCATTAATCAGAGAGCAGCCTTAATTAGCCTAGTTAAACTAGTCCTAATAGAAACAGCAATGCTACCTAGAAAAATCGTAATAGCAAAAAAGAGCATACAGCTTGGGCGCACACTCGTAACTATACTATTTCAGAATAGGTCATAGTAGGTTCGGTCGACCTTTAATTTCTTTCTTTCTTACTTTCTTTCGTTCTCTTTTTTTTTTTGGCGTATTGAAATCGAAATTCAAACAGCCGAATCCCTCCCCCCCCCCACTCGCGATTTTTGAGGAAGCGATAGAAATCACCTGTTGACCCACTTCCAGGGGGCGCAGCGCGTTCATGCATAAAGTGGCGCCCCACAGAAGAACAGCTCTTTAACTTCGCTATTTCATTTTCATGCCATTGCTGTCAGTGGACGGAATAGCTCCAATAGAGGACCATTCGGCAAACACGAAAAGATACACAAAAAAATTAAGAGTGTTCAATAGTATGGAATCTTTCTTCGCCTTATGCTGGAGGGATACGTTTTTCTGATCATCCTGCAACTCGCCACCAAATGGTTCCCCTCTGCTCAAACTTACCCTACTAATGTGCCACTACACAAACGTGCGAAAATGAAGACGTCATAGAGGGTGATCCGTGGCTTGTGTCCCGGACAACAAGCATTGTGAAAACTAGGTTAAGCAGAGTAACAGGCGCACGAGCAGTCATGCCGAGGGTAGGAAGCCTAAATATCTGCATCCTTCTACTACAATCCGCAGCCTTAGACATAGCTCAAAAAAGCAAGAGAAAAAGCAAAGAAAAGGAAGATTCAGTAAAGGTGCCATACGAACAAAAAGACTCTTTGGAGAGCCGTTTTAGCGGAATCGGCGGGTTAACAAATCATGCGATCGATGCCAATAGGAGGACCATGTAGATAGAGCGCTACGACACGGGGGAATCAGTTCACGGGGGAACATCCCTGTCATGTTTACTTGGCAAAGTATATCCGTATAAATAGTAAATTCTGATAACTTACATACTAAGTGGAACGCAACCAATATTAATTCAATATCGAAGTCAACCATAAAGGCGAAGGAAGATGTAGGATCGCTTTATTGTCATTTTGGTTACATGGACGGCTGTCGCCATAGCATTAGCAATCTCAATAACAAACATGTCCTCGGTAGTAATGCACTGACGAAATGGTGTGGGCCGCACATAGTACACAGAAGAGCTGCACAAAATAAATATACACAAGCCTATGTCACCGCACATTTATTCAGAACGAATAACAGTGTCCACTTAATAACATCTGCAATGGACAATGCCACTATTGATAATCAGCAGAGAAGAACGTCGTTGGAACTGTTGAAATGGGGGGAGCTTGCTTGACTAACCCAGTTGGCTCGGCCATTACCCAGTTCAGTATCGGCGTCTCAACTCAACAGATTTACCTCCAAACCCCGTTGCAAACCAACTGTGGCCAGGCCGAAAGACAGCTCCAACTAGGTAGGCTGGTAGCAGCGATAGTCGATAGCACGTACCGCTAACATCGACGAAGTGTTTACGACGGCAAAACGCCCGCAAACGTCCGGGTAGCGTTTGACAATCCGAATTAGCTAGTCTTTACAATGACGATCGGCACCGTGGCCGCCATAATCGCGAGATTTATGCTAAATCCATATAAGACTTGGTACTGATTGTGCGCGTCGCTGATGCCATTGCAACGCTCCCAGGCACTACAGTAAGCTAACCTTATCAAACAAAAATAGCGTTCTTTCTTACGGCATACGTGTACGTGCGTGTGTTTCTAACAAACTATCTGTGGGGTACCACGTTTAGCGTCTGACCACAATAGTCTCTTCATATCAGCGGTTTGTTGACCACTGGAAAGCGAGCTGGAGTAGTCGAATATAGCGGCCAGCTGTCGAAGGGGTTAATGTGGCCGTTCTTTGAGTACAGAAACGGTTACATCAGCACAAAAACTGCACGCCGCACACGTAAACCGTAGATAACACATGCTATTACTAACGTGTTTAGGCTAAACAATAAAGTACACAGTAACGAAGTGGACGACTGAAGCAATTGAGACCGCTGCGTGGTGTAGCCAATGTACATCGCACGATACATCCGCTTTCTACGGGGAGGTTTGCGTCATATACGTATTTTGCTATTTAGTGTGAAATATTGGCATAGGTGAAAGCTATGGCTGAGAGGTAGAGGTTATGGGAATTCGAATTTGCTAGTTCTATCCATTGTAGCTATAGCGAGTCTAGGTAATGATGCCTACTAATGTGCTACTTCAATCTCGCAGAAGGGTCAATATTCCTATAGCTTGTTACAAGTACTAGCCAATCAGCCTAATTTGGATTTAATCAAAATTTGGAGAAAGTCGAAAGGGACACTCCGGGTTCGCGGAATCAAATGGCGGCTTTATAAAAAGGAACCGTTACTTTAAAGTGGAAACTTTTACACGTAGCGGCAACGATACAAACAAACAATGACGGATTTGCTGTTACTGGCCAAACAGTTTGCAGAAAATGAAATGCTAGCGACGAAAATGACGTCGGGTCGCACGCTGCTACGCTACGTCGCTAACGTATTATGTTCTGACAATGTTCAATCGCGCAATAACTCGATGCGACAGACGCAACTATAGCAACAGTGTCCTCGCCATCAGCACCAGCGTCACGGTAGCTCGCGGCGTTCGCCACTCAATGGCAGCCCAATGAAACTTTTGGCCCCGCTGCTCGAACAACACCCGTACCTAAATGCACCTAAATGGGACTTGACGCCGTTGGAGTCAGTGGGTTCCAGCCTTGCCCGACGTTACCGGCTATGCGGCGGTAATTCCGACGCTATCTAACGTCCGCACCGAGGAGGACAGCACGGACGGTTCGCGTCAACACGTTAGCCGCCACGCCTATCGTTATAGTTAACACAATCATGTCGCTGCATCGCGAGAAGCGTTAGCACTTGCCGTTGAGCGCTGAACGCGCCGTACGACGTAACTGCCGCTGTTCCTCTTGCAGCTTGTACCGATCCTGACCGTTGCCCACTTTGTACGCAACGCCAGCGTGACAATGGCGACTGCAGCAGTAAACAACGAAAAAGCTAAGACGAGAGACGAAACTTCCGATGAAGTCAAACTCAGCGAATGAAATAATGAACTGTTTCTATACCAATAGTAGGCACGCTACAACACGTTACTATGGACGTGCATCCGCCTAATATTTTCTCGCCGTGATTTACCCCCTCCTTCTCTCTCTCTCGAGCCCGATTTTCCCAGAAGCGACGTAGAGTTCCAGTGTCGTCAGCAGCGAGCAACGTTAACGACGGCGGATGTTAATGGTTCCATGACTCGGCTGAGGCCTGAGAATGGTTTACCCGTACTGGTCCATATGCCGACGCCGGTGCCATGATCCGGACTAACTTAGTAGCGCAAGGATTTGTCAATCGGACAAGGGACCGCGTCGCGTGTTATGTCGGGCTGCTGCTGTTACTGTCGACTTTATTAGGACAACAGCAACGATAACGACAACACGCTTCCTGATAACAACGACAGAGGCGAACAGCATTAGCAGAAAATAGGAATTACTGAACAAAGTATTCTGGAAAAAAATAGGGAGTAAGCAAAAGAAGCGTGACAGCAAACTAAGCGGCTGAGGGCAAAAGAGACGGCAACGATTACAGTGGCCTCGCTGGCATTGGTGACGGGGGTCCGTGCACCTATAAGGATGAGTGAAAAACTGTTTGGTATTGGGGGATTCCAGTAATTAAAACTAGTAGAAAAGAAAAGTAAGCAAACGAAAAGCATCACCTAAGCACGCTCGCAACAGAGAAAGCATAACTTCTACGATATTAGTTTTTGCTGTGGCCTAGGAGACGGTACCTAGTACGAGACAAGCCGAAATCAAAGAACACAATTGGTACAGCGCAGATAGTGGGCCCATTCATATGTAGCCTTCACATCTCAGTGTTTCAAGACATTGTGTAAGCTTTTCAGATCCATGATCCATTTCCGGGACCTGGATCCAATATGAAACTGTATCAACTTCCATACAAAACCCAGCTATCGGTTCACCTTAAACATGCACGTGTAAGAAGCAACCCTGTTCATTCTTAAAGACCAAGCTTATTTCCTATTAAAGCATCATTTCAATCATGCATAGAAAGGTGTCAAACTGGGGCATAGTAAGAAAAACTCATTGAACAATCGGCCTTTATACGATTTGGAAAGGCCGCGGCGATCAGGGTCCGTTCTTGTCGATGCTTCTTTAGTATCTACTAGACCCAATGTATATAGAAAGCATCGTTACCGGTGTATGATACGTTTAACGGGTTTTGCATAGTTTCGTGTGACACTACGCGTAATGGCTATTAACATGCATGTACGTATAATGACAAACTCTAATTCATAAACAGAGCAAACAGACTGTTATAAACATGCATTTTCTAATTGATCGCTTGCTGGTACTTATTTATCTTACTAAGTCCGTTGGGTTATAAAGGCAGCGTATAAATTATCTGTCTCCAGATAACGCTTCCTGTCACGCACCCGTACAAGCTACCAATAAGCCTAAGCCAAAGTCAACGCGTAGACTCGATCCCCGCGACGCTGTAAAACAACTTAAGTAACTCGATATATATTAGCATCACTAAGGGGTTGGACGAAGGCCGGATTGAGTTTCGGGAGTAGAGTCAACTTGCACGTTTTTGACGGTCGACCGATGACCGGTTCATTTTATAACATGCTGGACATAAAATTATCACGAAAGCTTCCATCTTCGATTATAGTATATTTTGACTCGGCTGACAACCATAATATAAAAAAAATGGAAAATAAACCAAACTTGTAGGTCACCAGATCCGAAGAAACTGACCAACTGGCATGAA